TGATGCTTTTGAGTTGTGGTGCTGGCGAAGAATGCTGAAAGTACCATGGACTGCTAAAAGAACTAACAGATCTGTCCTGGAAGAAGTGCACCTGAAATGCTCCTTGAAAGCAAGAATGGCCAAACTTCATCTCAGCTACTTTGGTCATATTGTCAGAAGGGACCATTCCCTGGAGAAGGATGTCATGCTTGGTTAGGTGGAGGGTCGACGAAAGAGGGGGAGGCCTTCAATGAGATGGATTGACACAGTCGCTGTGATGATGGGCTCAAGTAAAGCAGGGATAATGGAGCTGGTGCGGGATCGGACAGTGTTTCGTTCTGCTGTGCATGGGGTCACTATGAGTTGGAAACGACTCGACGGCACCTAACAACAACAACAACAACAACTGACTAGCTGCTTTTAAACTCCTGATTTTTAAAGTCATTCACTTGGGGTATTGCTGTTGGAACAGCACAGGTGGAATATATTTTGAATCCTGCCTTGCTGGATTGGTGGTGAACTCAATTCACCACCCTTAGCCTCCTTGAGGGTATATATAGGAATCTTCTGGGAAGTTTTGCTCTCCCTCTTGCTCTGGTTCTGCATTTTGGCTCATTGTCATCTCACCCTGGATTAGGGACAGCAGTCATCATCTGATTTGCTGATTGTGGTTCCTCAAACCCTGAGAATTGGAAGGATCCTCCAGAACTACTTACAGACCTGGGACTTGCCAGCCTGCCAGCCTTCTAGCTTCTATCACCACTATGTAAGTTGATCCCTTGGATGTCTGTGAGTTCTGAGAAGTTACAGCAAAATACAGAGCCCTGAAACAGGGGGTGGAGGTTACTGAGAAGAAGAGTTAATGTCTGAAATGATGGAGTGGCTTGATAGTTTGGACATTTGGGACATCTTTAACCTCTGCCTCATGGGGACCAGCCTTGTGCTGATCTTTCTAAGAGAAATTTGTCAGCACAGCTCTTCCTCGGTTGTATTTTGAATGCCTTCCAACTTGTTCATCTTCTGGCAATCTATGAGATATTTCACTACTATTTATAAGGCTTATAGTGGCAATTATTTTCAGAAGTGGACCACCATTTCCTTCTTCCTAATCTGTCTTAGTTTGGAAGCTCTGCTGAAAACCGTCCACCCTGAGTGACCCTGCTGATATTTGAAATACTGATGCCATAGATTCCAGCATCACAGCAACATTCTAGCCACTGCAGTACAAAAAACAGACAGACAAGTGGTCATTAGTCATTATGGAGATGCAAATCAAAACCACAAAGAGATACCACTTTACCACTAACTAGGATGGCTATAATTAAACAAAACAAAACAAAAAACAGAAAGCAGCAGGAGTTGACAAGAGTATGGAGAAATTGGATCCCTCATCTATTGCTGGTGGGATTGTAAAATGATGCAACTACATTGGCAGTGCCTCAAAAAGTTAAACATAGAATTAGCATATGAATGAGCAATTCTACTCCTAGTTATATACCCAAAAGGACTGAAAGCAGGAATGCAAATAGATACTTGTACATCAGTATTCGGTGCAGTATTGTTCACAACAGCCAAAAGGTGGAAACAACCTAGATATCTATCAGTAGATAAATGGACAAACAAAATGTGGAATATTACCCATTAAAAGAATGAAATCAGATATATGCTATAATGTGGATGAGTCTTGAAAACATTATGCTGAATAAAATGTCAGTTACAAAGGACAAATATTGTAGGATCCCATTTATATGAAATATTTAGGATTGGCAAATGAAAACAGACCACAATTTATTAGTGGTTACCAGGGGTAGAAGGAGCAAGAGGAAACCATTGTCTGGAGGGCACTGACTTTCTATTAAGTGCGGTGGAAAAATTGGAAATGAATAATGGTGATGGTCACATAACATAATGAATATAATTAATGTCACTGGATTGTGCATGTAAGAGATAATGAAAAGGCAAAGGTTTTGTTACATATAATTTTCCCATAATTGAAAAAAAAAATGTGCAAGTTAGTGTCTCACCTCGGATCAGTGATTTTGCTGGTGAACAGAGTCAAGACTAGAGTCACTAACTTGTCCTGGTTTCCCAAGAACTATCCAAGTTATAACACTGAGAGTCCCACATTCTGGGAAACTCTACAGCCCTGAGAAAAGCAGGGTGATTTGTCCCCCAAGATGTGCAGTGATTGATGTTTTCTGAATCCCATTATACTGCTTCTGCTTCTACACACCTGATTTGATTCTGCTTTGCCCTATGGAAGAGCCTGTTGTAAACATACTCTGCACAAGAATCTGATAGAATCTGATAGAATCACTGTACACAGGTACAGTGATTGCCACAGATCCCTATACAATGTAGCTTTGATATCAGGCTTGTGTGTTGAATAGACTTGGATCCAGGCAGAGTTTCAGTTGATCACTAAATGAATCAGTATCATGTGCCTCTCCAAGTGCACTTCCTAATCTAAATACAGCCAAAACCAAAAGTCTCAGTGCTGTCGAGTCAAATCTGATTCATAGCAACCCCTCCTTGGGTTTCCAAGGTGGTATCTCTATGGAAGTAGATTGTCCAGTCTTCCTTCTGGGTGGCTGGTGGGTTTGAACCACCAGTCTTATGGTTAGCAGTCAACAAAGAAAGCCAGGAGGAACAACTGTTCTGACCCCCCTAAGCCAACTGGAACTATCATATGACCAGATGATGATTGGAGCAGGAGGATGCTGATGATGTGACCACCTTCCTTTCATCTGGAAAAAGTTTCTGTGAGTAATTCTCAATTAAGAAACATTAAAAATTTATTTTCAAAAGAGGTATAACACTTAAAGAACAACTTCCTCCTTGATAATTACCCCAATGATGAAACAACATGAACAACAAGGACAACAAGGAAAAGTCCTGCTTATTGGTTCAGACTTTGGCAGTCCAGTGTATAAATGTCCCAGACCAGAAAGAGTTCTCAGAATCTGGGAAACCCACCTCTGAACAGAAACCCTCTCCACACCTGACACCATGACCCACTCCTGTTGTTCCCATTGCTGCCAGCCCACCTGCTGCAGGACCACCTGCTGCCAGCCCATGTGCTGCAGGACCACCTGCTGCCAGCCCACCTGCTGTGAGTCCAGCTGCTGCCAGCCCTGCTGCCGCCCAACTTGTCAAACCACCTGCTCTACCACCTGCTGCCAACCAACTTGTGAAACCAGCTGTTGCCAACCTTCCACTTGCAGCACACCCTG